TAATTCTATAATTGAACTTTCATTTTTTTCCTACAGTTTTTCTGGTTGTACTTTTTCATAATTTTATGAAAAGTATTGTATTTTCTTTCATTCAAATAACCATAACTATCTCATATGACTGTCTGCCTACCTACATGCCCAGCTAGAAACAAGAAAGTAAAATGAAAGAAACCAGCTGAGTGCATCAGCATTTCATCTTTTGGGTATCTGCATCTCAATATACAATTTCAATATGCAATAGATTTGACTTCCCTGAAAATGTAGTGGAAAGCCACTTTGTTTGGCAACATTAAGGAAATTTCCATTTTTCTCTAAATGAAATCATTTTTCATAACAAAGAGTTTTTTTCTATAAATTATGCATTTGGATCTAAATAAAGAAAAGCATCTTGTATTTATTTTGCTCCTGCAAAACAGGAAAGGTCTTTCTTTGCAGCTTCTAATTTTAAAAGTTGGAAAAGTTCAGAAGGCACAATCTGGATTTGGTTATCAGGAATTAATCCTGGCAACTCTTCTTCATGAAATCATTTGAAAGCTGGTAGCTGGCATTATGGAACTGTTTGAAGACCACATTCACATAACAGACCCTAGACAAATGTTGTTTCAGTAAATGTTTAATAGCTGTCTTTTCCTTCTTTTCCTATTTGCTTCTCCTGTATGATCTGGTGCCGTTGCCCACAGACTTCTGGAATCCTTCTCACGGCACCCCGCTCACCTGGTTTACTGTATATATTTATGGCTGCTCCTTTGTCTTCTTGGGCTTTGTTTCAATTGCTTATTCTACAAATGTTAATTATCTCAGAGTTCTAGTCTTAATCCCCTATTCTGTCTATATTTTTCCTGGAAAATCTCTCTTACTATGGTTTCAATAACTATTATGCATCAACAAACCAAAACACAGCTGAGGTCATTTGTAACTGAATTATTTGTTTACTATCCAAAATAACCATTTCTCCTCTTGTATCACTTCAACAATTATACAAAGCCTGAGAATAACCTTGACTCTTCTTTCACTCACCACTAACATGATTAATACACCAAGCCTCAAGGATTCTGTCTACCTCCTGAATAATTGCTTAAATATTTCTACGAGTTTCCAACCTACCACCAATAACTTCAATCAGGCCATCATCTCTGCTTCAACTTTCTAGTCTTCTTCCTGCCCAGACATGCTCCCACTGAGACAGCCAAGTATAAAGGGGTCCCTGGAGAATAAGGGGTGGAGCCTTAGAAAGTTCATCCATTTGCAGTGCGGAGGAGTCTGACCCTGCCTTTTGGTGGGTAGTACCTAGGATTCAACCTGAGAGGCAGGAAACCAGCTGTTTTTTTTTTTTTCTTTTTACCCAATAAATTCCATTTTCTCACCCTTCAAAATGTCTGCAAGCCAAAGATTTCATGGCCGTGTGACAACCCAGCTTTTAGCTGAACTAAGGAGAAAGTCCTACACCACCACCACCAGACCATCAAGATCATCTCCAAAATTAACAAGTAAATCCAATCAAGTCATTCCCTCACTTAAATCCTAGCTCTCCCCAACTGCCCAACAATAAAGATTTATATTTCAGTATGTTCTGTTATAATCTTTATGATTACTACAAGTCCATAACCTTATGAAGTTTACTATTTCAATGGGAGAGGCAGAAAATAAACAGAAAGCAAGTAAATAAAACAGTGCTTAGTTAAAATAACTCAACTGAAATAAATACCTGAAAGGACTGCAGGACCTATATGCTAATAGCTATTAATAGCGCTAGCATGAAGCTTGAAACCCAGAGAGAAAGAAGAAGAAAAATAACTTCAGAATACAGCATAACTTCAGAAACAGCAAACTATGACATACATTCTTTCTACTCTTTGCCACACATTATAAACCAAGTTTAGGCACACATGAGAAAAAAGTGTGAATTCACCAATTTTAAAAACTTTAATGTGTACTACGAAGGTGTTATAAACTACACTGGTGTGAAAAGGTTTGCATTAACTTCATTTGTATGCCATGTAAATCAAGGCAATTCTGCATGGTCCCCAAAATAGGATTTCTAAAATAAGCTGAGAATGTGTCAGCCCCTCCATTTAAAAAGAAAACTCAATCATCTTCACCACTACCAGATTAAAATATTCTGTCTTCTAAGGAACCTCTATCAAAATATATCAATAAGCAGTGACTATTATTAGTTCACCTTTTAGAGACAGTCTTTCACTAACATGTAGTTATATCATGGAATATTAAGTAGCACAGAGTTAGGATCTGAGTTTCCCATTGACATTTATTTTAAAAATCTTTAAAACAATATAATATACTTTTACAATTAATATTAATTTAAATTTTAAAAATTTTAAAAATAATTTTTAAAATAATATATATTAAAAATCTTTAAAAGTATATAAGAAAAAGAATACAATTAAATTTAGTAGTACATTCTTTATAATGTTAGGTCAGCATGTGGTTTTTATCACTTCCCTATAACAAAGGCAGCTACATCCCTATTTTGGTAATGGTGGAAGTAGGTGATACACAACCCATATGTGGCACGTCAAAGAGGGATCGTAGAAAAGGAATGCTTCTTGTGCTGTCTTCTGGGCACCCATTGGTGCCCTCAGGTCACACTGGGCTCCAACAATGCATACTGGAGATGGTCCCCATTATGAGGATGGAAAAGAGCAGTGACTAGGCCCTATGCCATCAAACAGTGTACCCTGGGACCATTAACATACCGGCAATCTAGCCTTTAATGTCATTTGTTATAATGACTTTGAATGACAAATGTATAACGTAGCAAAGTATGTTTTCTCCAAATTAATGAAAACTAAATACATGCTGTACTAGTATACTTGGTAAGTTCCAAATAACATAATTATTAGTTAGCTTAAAGAACAGTGTGTAATTCAAAACATTTTCCACATTTGCAGAGGATTTTCCAAACATTCATAGATTATACATGGAAAATAATTATATTTGCATAATTAGCATAAAATACATGTCTGCTTTTCACATGTGTAAAATAATGTTGTTTTGACCAAATGTGGACCCTGCCCCACCCAAACTCCTACATGTGGAGACAGCAGCCCATTGGAGACTAACCATGATGTTGAGAGAAAGGGATGCAATCTAAGTAGTGTTAATATGCCTTTCCCTATATAGGAAACTTGAAAGAGAATCAACTATAGTGCAGTCTCCTAATTATCACATATACAACAAATCTTTTGTTTTTGAAAAGTCAATTTTTGTCCTAAGGAGACAAAGGGCCATTACCTAGAGCTCAGTGGTTGTCTATTCAGATCAAAAAACCCTGAATCCGATCATAAATTATACAGAATAAATACATTTTTAATGTAAGTATAGGTATTTATAAATTTATCATATACACTTCAAAGAGAAAATAGTATTGAGAGAATGAAGGAATATAGATACATCTTTATTATTATGTGTTTTCCTTTTGCCAAATGCCTAACAAAACATTATCTGTAAAATATGATGAATCACACATTGGATCATGTCAGCCAGGTTTATACTTTACCTATCATACTCAATGTACTATACCATGAATACACACCTTCTTGGTTATGACAGTGAATACATTATTTGCATATTTTATATTCACATTCATATCTTAGAAAACAGCAATATATAAAAAATAATTTTTGCTAGTATTCTTTTCTCTTTTTCTCTGTCACACACAGACACACACAGAGACAAGCACACATATGTACAAGTTTAGCATCAAAAACTCAGCTTTTTTTAACACCTAACTCCAATTTATCTAGATATAATCTTTCAAACTAATAAAAAGTAAAGTGACGTCATGCTGTTCAACAGAGCAAGTTTCACATTTGCATAATTGCATGAATGTGGCTAGAAATACAATATATATCCGAAGCATTTCTTTTCATGCTACACATGTGTTTCTATAAATGTTAAAGTTAAAATTACTTTTATAGTATAATTAGCAGCAATAATATTCAAATTGTAGACGTGAAATGCTGGGTAATGTTTTATTTTTTCCAGAATTTGTATAATCTTGTCATCAATTTCTGTTTAAACAAATTGTAGGCAGCTAGGCACTTTTCCTCTGTCTCCATTCAGAGAATTTAGAGGCTGAAAAGTCCTAGCAAATAAATTTTCAGTCAAGATGATTAACTAAGAACATAAATGAACAAATAAATTTACCTAACTATATTATTTAAAAAACACAAACTTTAAAATGGCAACCATATGTTATAGCTACCACAAATCTACTGTAATCAAAACAGTCTAATAATGACATAAGGATAGAAACACATAATAATAGAACAGAATTAAGATTCCCCATATAACCCATACATTTCTGACCAACTGATCTTTGAAGATAAATAGTATTGAGACAACTGATTATCCACATACTAAAGAATGCAGCTGGATATCTACCACATATGAAAATTAATTAAAAAGGGATCAAGAATCTATAAATATGAAAGTCAAAACTACAAAACTCTCAGAAGAAAATAGATGAAACAGAGCCCAAATAGACAAAATACAGGCACAAATATGTGTGCTTTTGGATTAGGTAATCATTTCTTAGGTATGACACCACAAGAGCAAGGAACCAAAATAAAAGCAGGCTCATTTTACTTCCTCAAAATTAAAAACTGTTTTGCTTCAGGCATACCATCAAAAAAGTAAAAAAACAATTCACAGAATGGAAGAAAATTATTTCAAATCATATATCTAATAAGAATCTAATATCCAGAATATATAAAAATTATTATAACTCAATAATAAAAAGACAAATACAAATTGCTCAAGATGGGCAAAGAATTTGAATAGATATTTCTCCAAAGAAGCTAAATGATGGCCACCACCAAGTACATGAAAAGATGTTCAACATCATGATTTACCACTCCAAAAATACACATCTCTCAAATCATTAGAGATGTGGTATCTCCACAAGAAGATATGACTTCACACTCACTAGCATGTCATAATCACAAAGATAAAAAACAAAAGAGATTGCTGGCAAGATGGCCAAACAGAAACAGCTCCAGTCTGCAGCTCCCAGTAAGATCGACACAGAAGGTGGTTGATTTCTGCATTTCCAACTAAGGTACCCTGTTCATCTCAGTGGGTCCGCTTGGACAGTGGGTATAGCCCAAGGAGTGTGAGCCAAAGCAGGGTGGGGAATCGCTTCATCCAGGAAGTGCAAGGGGTTGGTAAACTCACTCTCCCAACTAAGGGAAGACATTAGGGACTGTACCAAGTACTCTAGCCCAGATACTGCTAGAGTGCTTGTACAGCACAACCCATAGACCAGGGGAGTCCCTCTGGTGCCTACAACACCAGGGCCCTGGGTTTCCAGCACAAAACTGGAAAGCCATTTGGGCAGAAACTGAGCTAGCTGCAGGAGCTTTTTTTTTCATATCCCAGTGGCACCTGTAATGCCTGTGAGACAGAACCATGTACTCCCCTGGAAAGGGGGGCTGATGAAGCCACAGAGCCAAGTGTTCTGGCTCAGCAGGTCCCATTCCCATGCAGCCCAGCAATCTAAGATCCACTGGTTTGAAATTCTGGCTGCCCACACAGCAGTCTGAGTTCTACCTGGGATGCTCGAGCTTGGTGGGGGAGAGTGTCCACCATTGCTGAGGCTTGCATAGGCAGTTTTACTCTCAGAGTGGGGAACATCAAACTGGGCAGAGCCTACCATGGCTCAGCAAGGCCATGGCGGCCAGACTGCCTCTCTAGATTCTCTCCTCTCTGGATAGGGCATCTATGATAAAAAGGCAGCCGCTCCAGTCAGGGACTTATAGATAAAACCCCCACCTCCCCAGGACAGAGCACCTGGGGGAAGGGGCAGTTGTGGAAGCAGCTTCAGCAGACTTAAATGTCTTTGCCTGGCAGCTCTTAAAAGAGCAGTGGATCTTCCAGCACAGAGTTGGAGCTCTGATAAGGGAAAGACTGCCTCCTCAAGTGGGTCCTGGACCCCATGTATCCTGACAGAGACACCTCCCAGTAGGGGCCGACAGACACCTCATACAGGAGAGCTCTGGCTTGTATCTGGCAGGTGCCCCTCTGGGCACAAAGCTTCCAGAGGAAAGAAGAGGCAGCAATCTTTGCTGTTCTGCAGCTTCTGCCAGTGGTACCCAGACAAAAGAGTCTGGAGTTGACCTCCAGCAAACTCTAGCAGACCTGCAGCAGACGGGGCTGACTGTTACAAGGAAAACTAACAAACAGAAAGGAATAGTATTAACATCAACAAAAAAGATGTCAAAGAACCCCATTCGAAGGTCACTAACTTCAAAGACCAAATGTAGATAAATCTGTGAAGATGGGGATAAACCAGTTCAAAAAGGCTGAAAATTCCAAAAACCAGAACACCTCTTCTCCGCCAAGGGATCACAACTACTCTGAGTTTGACAAATTGACAGAAGTAGGCTTCGTAAGGTGAGTAATAACAAACTCCTTTGAGCTAAAGGAGCATGTTCTAACCCAATGCAAGGAAGCTAAGAACCTTGAAAAAAGGTTAGATAGATTACTAACAAGAATAACCAGTTTAGAGAAGAACATAAATGAACTGATGGAGCTGAAAAACGTAGCACAAGAATTTTGTGAAGCATACACAAGTATCAATAGCTTAATTGATCAAGCAGAAAAAGGATATCAGAAATTGAAGATCAGCTCAATGAAATAAAGTGAGAAGATAAGATTTAAAAAAAAGAGTAAAAAGAAATGAACAAAGCTTCCATGAAATATGGTACTATGTGAAAAGACCAAATCTGTGTTTGATTGGTGTGCCTGAAAAGTGATGGGGAGAATGAAATCAAGTTGGAAAACACTCTTCAGGATATTATCCTGGAGAACGTCCCCAACTTAGCAAGACAGACCAACATTAAAATTCAGGAAATACAGAGAATACCACAAAGATAATCCTCAAGAAGAGCAACTCCAAGACACATAATTGTTGGATTCACTAAGGTTGAAATAAAGGGAAATAATGTTAAGGGTAGTCAGAGAGAAAGGTTGGGTTACCCATAAAGGGAGGCCCATGAGACTAACAGCAGATCTCGCGACAGAAACCCTACAAGCCAGAAACCCTACCAGCCAATATTCAACATACTTAAAGAAAAAAATTTTTAACCCAGAATTTCATATCTTTACAGATAAGAAAATGCTGTGAGATTTTGTGACAACCCGGCCTGCCTCACAAGAGCTCCTGAAGTAAGCACTAAACATAGAAAGGAACAATGAAAGGAGAATGATTGCTAATATGTATGGGGTTTCTTTTGGGGGAAAAGAAATTATTCTGGAATTAGATAGTGGTGGTATTTCCACAACCTTGCAAATATTCTAGAAACCACTATATTATACACTTTAAATGGATGAATTTTATGGTATGTTAATTATATTTTAATTAAAATGTAAAAGTATTATTAAAATGATACCATTTGGAAAAAATATAAAAAATTATTCATTCTAGGTGAAATCTGTGATGCTTCTTCATAAACGAACGATCTTTGAGGTTGAGTAAATAGCTGATGATGAACACTTCCTTCAGTCTGAGGAGTTTCCAGGATGTATTCACAACTCAGCTTCTGTAGCTCTTTAGATCATTTGGTATTTCATATTCTTTTTCTACCATATTCACTTTTGTTGTTGGAAATTTACAGGCATGAGAAATCTGCTTTTTATTAGAAAAGACATTCTTTTGCCTTTCTAATACCCATCCTCTTTTGCTTCCTAATGGGCATAGTATATAATAGATAGTCACATCATTCCCCATCCAATCCTCCACACCTGCCACATACTGTATTAATTTTCCTACCCTTAGAAGCCAGCAACCCAAATTAAAACCAATTTCAATGCCACTTTTAAAGTTGTCTAACAACCAGATTCTTCCAAGGCTATTTCCATATTCTAAGAGTGTGGACATTTTCACCCTGAACATTGAAAAACAGCCACCTCTTTGTTCTTTCTATGACCTAATAAAGCTGCTACACCCACCCTCTCTCCTGGTCTCTGAAGAGAAACTTCTAACACCTTATCATTCATCCTTTTCCATCTCCATTTCACTTAATTCTAACCTCCTAGGTTGTTAATGACCTCCTAACTATCAAAGCCAGTAGATTTTCCCAAGTTTTGATACTAATTTACTATTCTGAAACATTTAATACTGTTTAAAAATCTACTTTCGCCAAGTTGTCATTTTCTCTTCAAAAATATAATGTAGGTGACTTTTCTTCACTGTTCATCTCTTATGCACAAAGGCTTTCTTGGACTAGTGAGTCAGGCGCTAGAGACATTAAATATACACATCATACATAATGGCTGTTAGATCACAGGCAAACTAACTTCTCAGAGTCCCAACATATTTATTTCTCTGTAAATTGGGTGTTTCTCAGAGTTTCTGTAAGAATGATATGACATGTTACATATGAATTTATTATCGGTAGCCTGGCACATAAATGGTAGGTTTTTTGTTATAATTAATATTATTTTATCATCTTCACCACTATTATTATAACCTCCTTCATTATCATTAACCTTGAAGTCTCTATCTCCAGTCCAGCCTTCTTTTCCACGTTCCTGTAGAATTCTCTGCTGCATAGAATTACTAGTGTTCAACTTACTTCCAGGTACTTTCTGTCTGTCCAAAGCGCATCTGAACATCTTTGTCAGCTGCCAGGAAACAACGCTACTTCATTGATGACATCACCATCTTTGTAGTTATATGGTCTGAAAGCCTGGTTTCAGCTTTCATTCTTTCTTACTATGGGGAAAAATGTATTCCTAAGTTTAATCAACTACGTCTCTGCAATATTTCTTAAGCGTACCCCTGCCCTCCATTCCCACACAGAAATAGGGCCAGGCCCTTATTATTTCTCACTTACATCAGTGGTTCCCAGATGTGGCAAAATATCACAATCAAAATCCAGATCCTTGGAGCCACCCCACACCTACCCAATCATAAACTCCAAAGATTAAGGCCTAGAACTCAGGCATATTGAAAAGTTCCCAAGTGGTTCACAAAAACTGCCAGATTTTGAAACCAATGGCATATACCAGGAAAGTGCCCTCTGACAATCTAATTCCAGTATCAGCTCTTTTCAATGTTTTTTCTTACCCAGTAACACAAGCTATATACTTTAGAAGGTTCAGCTTCTCAAATTACTGCTCTAAAACATGCTCTATCTCTCCACTCCTCTCAGAGTAAAGTTCCACCTTAATTATCAGCATTCATTCATCAATTTTTAAGCACCTACAATAATAGGTGCTGAGAGTATGAGAACTAAAGATAAAGTATTTGAGTGGCTAACAATCTAAAGACAGGAAGGGAGAAAGAGTGATGGGATGGGAAGAGACAGAGAAAGAGAGACAGAGAGAAAGGAGGAGTGAGCACAAGCATTTATTCAATACATCTATCCTGCTAGCCAAAGGATCTACACTTGGAATTAATTTTCTTCTTAGTTTGGCACTCAAGGCCACCACAGTCAGGTTTCATTCTTATTCACCACGGTTACCTAAGCTCCAATTAAAACAAAAAGTTCACACAGTTTCCACAAAAACTCTGAGTCACTGTGCATGTAACTTTTGGTTCATAGTAGGCTCTCAGGGTAGAAGGTCTTTCCCTGTAAACTCATTTCCTTGTGCCCAAATTCTTATCATCTTTAATGTCTCAAGTAAGCCCATCCTGATGGGCCAAACAGAAAATCAGTACTCTATCAAGTACTCCATAAGAAACTGAGGACCTTCTACCACATACTGTAAATATTTCACATTTGTTATCTTCCCTATTAAACTGCAAGTCCCTTTAGGAAAGGATTCATAATGGATCATTCACTGAATGTTTGCAGCACTATTGTATATCACAAACGCTTTAAACTAATAAATATAAACAGATTGGCAAATAGTGAATACGTCCATAAAACCTGAATTCTGGTACCTATTAAAAGTGTTATCAGACCAGATGTTTACAAAGATGACATTATCAACATAAATGATATCTGATTAAATTATAGCTAATAGTGAGATATGCAGTCATTTTTGCATCACTAAATGGCAGAATCAATCTACAAAAAGTTATCATGTTCAGTGTTGAGTTAATATCAATTGTTGGCATGTTTAGTTTTAAACTAAGCTTTTATCAGCCCAGGAAACTACTTAAACATACAAAGAATATTATCTAAATTTCTTTAGAAAAATCTATGCAGAATTAGAATATGCTGATAACCATAGTCTAGTCTGAAATATGGGAGTGTCTCTTTGTGAATGCTTATATATGTGTAAATCTCTATATGGATAAACTCTCTGGGGATTCTGTAGAATGCTGCGAAGTATGCATTATATTTAAAAACAAAACAAAATCAAACTCAGCTCTCCCCAGGAGAATCCTATGCACAGCTAAACGGAAAATTCTACTAAACTGAAAGTTTTCAGTTAATTAGGTTCAGTACCACTGTAGCACACTGCCAAAATAATAGATGTCAATACCATTTTAGAAAGTCAATCCTATGTAGGCACATCTGCACAGAAGCCAATTTATCTCAACATATGAATCCAGAATGAAAACAAATGAATTACATTATGGATTTTAGAGTCAAATCAGTTCATACAGATTATGCCACCAGAAGCAAGAGTCATCATTTTGAAAAAAGAAAGACAGCCAAATTTAAAGAAGTTAATACAATTTTCTAAGGGCTTAATAAGTTCTCTAAAAGTCTTCCATACAGAGGGTAAGTAGTTCAAATTTTAGGTAATAGAATGTAAATGAGACCAATTAGAATAGCAATGAGTTTAAAACCAAATAGACAAATTATAAGCATAGGTCATTTTTTTTAACTAAGGAAATTTAAAAAGTGAATTACATTTAATTTTCAAATGTGCATCTCTGCTATCTCCTCCAAGATGTCTCTTGAAAATACTAGCTTAAATTCCAGCATCCAGAGCTCACCCATCACATTCTGTTTCTAATTTCTGAAATGAAGCACATCTCACATAATAGACAGCAAGAAAATAAATGCAAACATCAGAATTAAGAGGGACACCTTAGCCTCAGAACTCCCCTTACAGGTAAAACTTGTAGGTTATAAAATAAAGATAACTCTGACATAACTTAAATTTTATGTATTGAGGACTATTGGGAGCATAATAAACAAAAAAACTAACCCATTTTACACATATCCCCAGGGCACAATGCAAGAAGAAATGAGCTTAAATACCAGCAACAGAGATTTGGGTTAGATAGGAGAAAGAGATCCCTGAAAGTGAATGTCGTAAGGATCTAGAGCAGGCTGACCAAAAAGGCTGTAGAATTTCCTTCTCTGAAGATCTTCAAGAATCAGAGAAAAATGTAAGCATGTAGGGTGATTTAATTTAGGAGATAGATAGAAAAAGATGGGTAAATTAAGTGACTCAAAAAGGTCCTTCCGATTTATTTTATATGTTTTAAAACTAGTAAATCAAAGAATTCTTTTACTGACTGTCTCCAATAAAAATGAACATTTCCAAACACTGCTGTACCAGTTCCGGATTTTAAAATTGAGGCTCAAAGACATTACATAAGTAACTCGATTAGAGAAGCAGTGTTTAAAGCTAGGCCTCCCTGACTCTAAATTTCATTTAATGGCGCTATTTTACATATAAGAAAGCAAAAGGTGTTAACGATTTTGTCTTTACATTGGCAAATAGCTAGGATATTAAGGACTGCATTTCAGAGAAGCAGGCTTTAGCACTATGACCTTCTGAACACCCACATTTTGTGCACAACAGTGTAACTAAGAATGTATTGGGGGACTGACTTCAGTTCACAAAGCTAGAAGTCATCATCATCATCTAACGTTTGTTGATGCATTAGACAAAAAAGGAAGCTACATCTTCCTCTTTTCATATGCATGCTGAACCAAGAATAAAAGTGCTAGCCAGGGTCAGTACACATAATTGCTGCATTCTGCTAGGGAGGTCCAAGTCACCACTATAAAATCTTCTATTAACTAGATAAATTTACATGGAGGAAATCCTCTGATCCTTGACCAAAGGCTCATCCCTAACCCTCACAGTTACTGAACAAATGCATGAAACTTGTCAATGATGACAGGACAGAATGAGAGAATAAAGAGGGCTCAATATAAACCTATCATTATTATATTAACAAGCCATTATTACTAGAAAAATCACTTCTAGAACTTTTATTAACAAGTCAGCAGACTCTTCGATTTGTACAG